TCGCATATTGCTAACAAATTTTCAGTGATTCATTTATATGTACAACCAGTTATTCAACAGCCTTCAAACCTTTAATTATCTTTTAAATATATGTAATTTTGCACTTCTAATTAGATAGCAATTTAATGCTCTCACAGGGATTCAGATGGGCTGTCTTTTTTGAAATGTAAACTCCAATAGGAATAATCATTGGCATTCAAGTGATTGAATTCTTCAGTTATTTAAATGAACGTGAGGCATTTACACTGCTCAAATCATTTAAATATTCTGCTGTCAGCTACAGCTGTAGAGTTTTATGGAGTCAATGAATAAAGCAAGGGTAAGTGTAGGTTATCTCACGTTCCAGGCGGGACTCCCCAGAGAGAAATGAGATTTGCTGCTTCTGAAAGGCTAACACTGCTTAAGTGGGGCATTAATGTTTCCCCTGACACTCGGATTTCTCTGGTTTTCTATATTAGGAGAAACAAATTTTCTCAAAATTTACAGCTACAAAAGACTTAATACTGATCTAGAATCTTCAAACACTCCAGGTCCTTCAGCTTAATGCAACACATGGTGACAGTTCACATTCTAGGGATGAAATGGGAACTCACTCAGGCACCTGAACCACCAACACATCTTGGTGTGAGCACTGAAATATTACACAAAGGCTTTGATTTCTAGGTGTAACTTTCCCAGTCAAGACTGATCAAGTTAAAGATGTGCATCCTTGTATAGAAAGGCATCAGTTGAATTCATTTACTTTGGTAGGAGCATTCACAAACAACCATTAATAAACCCCATTACAAGTCTTACAGAGCTTATTTTGAGAGCAAGAATAAATGTCTCAATCTTCTCAGAGATAGAGGATTTTGATTCAAATAATACATATATCACAAAAATAATATAATCATAATAATCATTTAACATTATACATACATTACAAAATCTTTAGTAAGCAGAGATGTTATTAGATTAATTCATAAATCAGAACATATTTTTTACCTCAGATTTATTTTTTAAATGGTAGAACATAAATAAAATAGGCAATTTTATTCAAGAACATATGCATTTGTCTTTAAATGCATATTTTCTTTGATTAAGAAACTCGGGCTCCTTGTTCAGGAGCCCTGAGTATTCTGCCCTGGTAATTACTGAAAAAAAACTGAACCCTGTTCCACTCCCTGAACAAAAATACAAATCCCATTGCTAACTATGAATCAAAAAAGCCACGGGCTTCATAAAACCTGGTAGCAACCTTGCTATTATTTATTGAAAACCACACAAACATCAGGGCAGAGAGGCAGCAGCACAAACCCCAACACCAGATAAGGTTCACAGTGGTGCTGATCCTTGACTGTGGCTCACACCCATCTTCCAGGGACATTCCTTAATTTCTCTGCAGTCCCACTACACTTCCCTAGGAAAGCAGCTTTCCTCTGGCACCAGCCATTGCCAGACTGCAGAGTGACAGTGGCAGTAATGGCCAATTAACCACAATTAAGGTTAGACAGCTTAAGGTTGTTTTTAAGGGCAGTAAAAAAAGTATTTTCCTTTGCACTCACTAAACTCGTTTCTTCGGCAAACTGTATCATAAACATGACATATTTTCATTTTCAAATCTAGCAGTGTAACACCTGGCACACACAACAAGTGTTAAGAGGCTCCTGAAATGCAGATTTAATCTGCCATGATCACAAATGAGGAGGACTGTCCTCATGTGCACATTTCACTACCGGTAAGGAGCCTCACACCCTAAGTTATGAAAAAACTGAAAATTTAGTTTTGAACTCCCAAACAATTTATTACTTTTTAAATTACCAGTAGGTCGAGGTTTTCAAGAGAATATAAAATTACAAATTACATCACACAACTGAAAATATTCTCTCGTGGAAAATAAAATAGCACTCTGTAAAAATATAGACTCTTAGTCAAACTCAGCATATAGAGGCATTCTGATGTATTAAAGCAGAATTTTAAAAAAAAGGCTTTTTTTCTCATCAGATATAGTCTATGGCGTTCCCACTGGGGTGATTTTGGTAGGAAAGGAGACTTTAAAAGGGCATAATACGGGAAAATGTGCAATGGATGCTCTTCAGCTACGTAAAAAAATTTTAAAATAAAATTTGAAAATAAAAAGGAAGAAAGGAAAAATAGGGAAACGGGGCACGACCCTGCTGAGAAAGAAAGGCCGCGAGGGCGGCGGGCGCTGCCCGGGGCGGGATCGGCCCCGGCGGGGACAGCGCCCTGCGCGGAGCTGCGGCGCCACCTGCCGGCCAAGACCCCGCACTGCAGCCGCCGGTCCCAGGGAGCCGCGGCCCCGCTTTATCGGCTCCTCTGTCGCGACTCATCGCCCCGCTCGTGTCGTGTGAGCAACGGAACCCAAAGGTTCTTCCTGGCCCCTCTGTGGGACGGTGGCCGGTGGAAGCTCAGAGGCAGAGCTGGGGGCTGGGACTGCTCCAGCAGCCACTCAGGATTCAGGGAGCACCTTCCTCTCCTTCCTGCCGCCTAACCACGAGCACCCAAACCCATCAGCCCCACCAAAAGTGAAGTTTATTCAAAAAAAAAACAAAAGAAGAATCCAGCAACAGCTCAGGATTCAGGGAGCGCCTTCCTCTCTTCCCTGGAACCCAACCATGAGCATCCAACCCATCAGCCTCACCAAAAGCCAAGTTGATTCTAAAATCCAGCGGAAGAATCCAGCAGCAGCTTAGGATTCAGGGAGCACCTTCCTCCCTGCAGCCCAGCCACGAGCGCCCAACCCATCAGCCTCACCGAAAGCCAAGTTTATCAAAAAAGCCAGCAGAAAAATCCAGCAGCAGCTCAGGTTTCAAGGAGCGCCTTCCTCTCCTTCCTGCCACCCAACCGTGAGCACCCAACCCATCAGCCCCACCAAAAGCCAAGTTTATGCAAAAAAACAGGAGAAGAATCCAGCAGCAGCTGAGGGTTCAGGGAACACCTTCCTCTCCTTCCTGCAACAGCCCAACCACCAGCACCCAACCTGTCAGCCTCACCGAAAGACAAGTATATGCAAAAAAAACCAGCAGAAGAATCAAGAGAATAAGTCTCCCAGAAAAGCATTTTTAAATATAAACCCAACAGTAAAATCAGCACAAAAATGCAGCCAGCTTAATGATCACATACACTGCTCAGTGTTAGATAAAAATCTGGTGCAGCAGGAAGCATCCTGTGCTGTTTGCTATCCTGCCTCTCTGCTCTGTGTCCCAGAAGATAGTTCCTTAAAAAGCAGTACATCAGCTCCAGAACTAATAGATATGAGGTTAGGAACTCAGGAATTCAGTAATATTCTAGTTTTACATCACTGCTGGAAAATAAAACAACAGGATAAACCAGAGTGGATCAAGTCAGTAATCAATGAGACTTGAATGTAAATCTACGACAGAAATAATTTTTGAGAGTATCTTTAGTGAATTATCTAATTCCAGATCTATGGCCTATTTTCACATAATTATTGTCACAAATATGGCAATGGTATCAGGATTTGGCCTGCAATATTAAACCAAGGGCCCAGGCCAGCAATCACTTCACTCTCAAAAACTCCACTGAAGTCAACAGAAGACTCTCATTACCCACCGTGACAGAACCCAGAGGTAAAAATGAGACTCTTCCAAAAACCTGAAATACACAGACCATGAATATATCACAATGAGTTCCCCCAGCTGACAGCTTATGGGCTCCTGACCAACATTTTGATTTTAAAAAGAGATTCCATTGTATAAGGTAATGAAGTAAGTGCCTTCAAGATGTACCCTTGGTGAGGGACAGTTACAGCAAACAACCTTTTGCCTCACTAAAGCAAAACATTAGAAATTAGGGAGCAGGTAAGACCCTCTGTCAGCCTTAGAGCTATCCACATTTCCTTGACCTCATTACCTTCTCTTTTATAAAATATCTATTATACACTGAATAAATACTAATAACTTTGAAATAAATAATTTGCCCAAAGAGACAGGGACACTACAGCAAAGACAAGAGTTATCAAACTCTTGTGATGTAGAGAGAGAAGTTTCATTTAAATACATTCCTGTGGCTTGCAAACCTGGGATGTCAGACTTACCCATCGAAACATCCTTGTTGCACTTTTCCTAAGTTCTACTCCAATTAAAAACCAAACTAAGTGCAAATATAAATGTTCATTTAGTGTGTAATTCCTAGCCCATATCTTAGAAAGAAAACTCCTTTTGCTTGGTGAAGACCTCAGATATGCTAACGCCTTAATAAATCACGCTTGTCAATAATTTTATTTTCAAATTAAATCATCCAACCGGTTAATATTTCTGTTTTCTACTGAAATATTGTTGAAATTGGACATTGGAGATCCTGCATGAGAAACACATGTGGCAGCCATGTGGCCACAGCAATGGGACCATTAATGCCAGCACTTTGCTGGGAGCCAGTGGTGATGGAACACTTGGCAGGGCTGTTCCTAAACAATGATGCAACCAGGAATGCACCAGCCCTCTGGGGTGTTAACTTGATAAACATTTGCAAAACAGTGACTTTATTTTTCTTGCTGTGATTAGTGCAAACAAGATGATAAGGGGGAACTAAAGGTAAAAATTGCTGCTATTTCTCTTTTACTACAGAAAATCCCTAGTGCTCCTATTTTGCTTAAAAACATGCTTTTTTGAAATTTCTGCACATATATTAAATTAACTTTAACACTTTAGCATGACAAATAGGGGTTATTACAGAGCACTAGAGCATTCCGACGTTCCATTTCAATGTAAAATGAACATAATTATAGCAATTTTTGGCTTTGCTCTTTTGCAGTAATGGAGGTCTGCATCTTTTGCAGAAGCAAGTTGTATATTTATTTTCCTAGGGGTTTTTTCATGTTAAGTGTTGTTTCCAGAGGTAAGAACTATGATGGGTTATGAAACAATATAAAGTATCTGCTCCATTGTACTTAATTTTTAATGAAGACTATTCACACTTGGAAAAAAAACAGATGCAACACATACAGCTAAATAAAACAGATCAATAAACAGCATTCTTACCAAAGGCCTGAGTTCTGGGTGAGTCAAAATATATCCATTGTTTGTAATTGCAAAAGCGTATCCATGAATTCCTAACTGCAGAAGTAAATGAGAAAGAAACACTGGTTAGCATGGTCTCCAGTAAACCCTTAAAAAAATCAGGCAATAATTTGGCTATCCAGGGCACCTGGCATTCCCAGCCCTTATCCACACAGGGCTTTGCTGTAACACATAAGCAAAGATCCCTGACATTTTGTGCAAATGAGAACCTGCCACGTGATGAATTCAGCACAGAGCAGGATTTTACACTGTCCCACAGCTCTGCTATCCAGGGCACTTGCTCCTGTGGGTGATAGAGTCAATTAATTATTATATATATACATTAAAAATATAGCTACATGTGGGATGCCATAGTATGTGGCATTCAGAACATGGGCCAGGGCAAAGAGATACAGGGATATTAGAAATTCCCCATTCCCAGGAGAGCACAGCTTTCTTCACTTGTTGTTCAAGAACCACTTAGCTCAAAGATAAGGAAAGCACAGCTGCAGTGAGCAACAGTGACCTGTCACATGTGATATTTACACCTTCCCATCTCAAAGGCTCTCTGCTAATTCCAGTTCAGCTGGAGCCCCAGAAGGCAGCTATTTCTGCTAAAGAATTTCCTCTAACTTTTCATCTTTGTACTGATTGGAACTGTGGGAGATTCCTTGAGAGCAATGAGATGCTTGATGAGGCCTAACAGTGCCCAAATTTAGCATTGTACTTATTTAAATAAAAATACTGGTCTATTTAACAATATGCTTATTACACAGCTGATTGCATCCACTGAATGCAACAACTCTGCCTTTAAATCCTTCATGTGGTCATTCAAACATCCCTTCTTAGCACAAGCTTGCTGCTAATGTAGACTTTTCTACAGATTCACTATGTATCTTTTGCCATGCAGAGTGTCTTCCTATTCTTCTTTACCCATTTTTTTCAGTTCTTCAGACAATATAATCTCCTGTGTATTTTTATTTAAGCATCTCAATACACTGAGAGTACACTGAGGTATTAAATACCCCAAAAAAAAGAAAAAAAAGAAGGGAACTTGAAAGTCCAGCACTATCTTGCTTTGATATTTACAGTTCTCACTACCAAATCTTTAATTTGAGTGCATTCTTAAATGCTTTGCTGAAGTGGGTCTTTAGGAATTTGTCTGACACAAAGCAACTCGAGCAAGGAAAGTCAGAATCCTTTCTAAGAGGCAAAAGGGAGATCGAGTTTATTGGTTTCTGTGATTTTCTGGAAACATAAACCAGACTATGATCTTATGGCAAGGTCACAGGTAAAACATTCCAGGTTAATTTACAGTGTCTCTGTGTGAATGGTTGTATATGGTCAGCTCTATCTGCCACACAGAAGATTGTTTCATAAATTAGTGGTTTTCCTAGAGCAATAAACTTCAGTGAGAGCAATAGAAGGTGATATGTTCTTGGCATCTCTTCATAAAGGAGGGATAACCAAATAATAACAGTGGACATATTTTAACTATTATGGTGTGACAAGGGAACGAGCTGTTGGCTAAATATCAGATCTCAAGTGTTATTGTCTGTGTTGATAACTGCAGAATGACATCCAGGCAATGGAAGTCAGGTAAGGAAACAAATGTGGGTGGTATTTTTCACAGGAAAAAAGCATTTGCCTGTTTGAGGCCTACACAGGATCTGAGGGCAGCATTTTGTCCTGTTCTGTGCAATGGGTGAAACTGCACAGCCTCTGCAGTACCTGAGTGATGCTGCCATTTACAGCAGCACTGCCACTTTCAACCTGGAATTCTGTCTCTAAATCACAGATTCAGAAACAAAGAAACCTTTTCCTAACTGATGTAAAATGTCACATGGAAGTCAAGTATTACCAAACCCAACCCCACCTCACTCAGGAGGAACTGCCACTGACATCTGGGGATGTTTAGTCAAGGTAACAACTGCTGAAAACAACTTATTGCTGTTATTCATCTTCCTCTGCATAAAATCCACCTCATCCAGGCTGAGAGAATTCCAGGCCAGCAGACTTCTATTTTCAACTATCATTTTATATTCCTGTGTGAGTTTTTGGTCACGTGTTGCCTCTGCAGGAATGGCTCCCAGGGGTGATTATGCTCTTGCAATTGCAGAGTCTTTGTTTAGGGCATGTGGGACTGGAAGTTATAACTCAAGTGATCTCACTAACCCAACTGCATTGCATGATATTGGTAATAATCCTCTCTTGCAGTACATCCTGCAATATAAAACATACCTTCAAATAAAAATCTAATATTCAGCAAAAGGATCATATATTACCTTCCACAGAAAACTAGTTCTTAAAAAACTTCTTTTCTGAATCAGTCTCACTCTGTTCCAATACTCATTATTTGGGCCTCCCACTCTTTCTAGATTCTCATATTCAGACTATGTCCAAATCTCACAGATTATTTAGGAGGAACATCACTGTTAGCTGGCTTTTCCTATCCACCCATGAACAGCCAAGCTTTTATTTCTGCAGGTACCACAACATTGTTCTTCCTTCTCACTACAAATGAAACTTGCTCTCCCCACAGCTCCTTACAGGCAGCTCCAAAGATTGTGTCCATTGCTCCAAATTAAGCAAAGGAGCAAATTTTGCTCCTTTCTCTTTTACCTTCTACTGATTCAGTACTTCTGCATGCACAGAAGTGTAACAGTTTTTTAACATTGCTGTTAGCAAACTTGGTTGGTCTGTGCCCTGAGCTCCCTGTCATTTATTCTGAGCAGCAATGTCTCTGTCACTGTGCTCTGATGCCAGTGTGGAGGCACCTGCTGCCTCTCCCCATAGCCCTGGACAGGGCCCTTTCTGTGCTGGGCTTGCACAGCCCCTGTCCTGTGGGATCCAGGTCACAGGAATTCACTCCAATTCACCTTACCAATAATATTGCCATTCTTTTTTATGCACCATTTCATCAATCTCTTGTTTAATTTAAACTTTCCAGTTACTGTATATTCATCCAGGAAATCATTCGGTAAACCCTAATTTATTCAAATTAGAATTAAAATTGATAGGAGGAATTTTTATGTGAGAATATTGGAAGGCACTTAAAAGTCAGTTTCTTTCTCCACCCTCTTAGAAACCACTAAATGAGAACATGGCAAACAATGAAGAGACAATTTGTATGATATAGAAATTTATGCTCAGTACAGGTGCTATTCCAGGGGCTGGCCTCTTTAGCAAAGGCTGTCTACAATACTGTGTTACATGCTTGTTAATCATGCAAAAGAATCCACTAGGTATAAATGGGAAAATACTAATTTAATTTTCATGTGTGAATAGAAGAGTACTATAGTAAAACATTTCAGACGTGGAGAAGTAGTGAAATACTTATGTACTGCATCAAATTTAAATGAAAATTAATTACATTTTGTGTTTGCCTGAAGCCTGCTTTTACTGAATGCAAAATTTCACAAGAGATATAGCGGTTCAGATTTTGAAAATTTTTGTGATAGTTGATTTCAAGACTTACTGTAGAGTTGTCACTGACTTTGGAAAACTAAGTGGAGGAAAATATTTAGCAGATACTGGGTAGGAGAGAAGAAAGCACTAAAGTCTGGTTAAGCAGGAACTTGTTTAAGTTCTTGCCATGTGCCACTTTAATTCCAGGAGACACAGAATTGGGACAGGAAGAATTACACACCAACAGGAAGCCTAAAGCCACATTAAAGATAGGTTTTCATTAAAAGTTCTGCAGTTTTTCAGTATGATTCTTTTGGTTGTTTTGACTTGTATTCAGGCTGTATTTCACAGTTTGATAACTTCATTGATTTTATAATTATATTGATTTTAATATGGACAGCATTTAATCCTAGACCCTCCAGACCACAAAATGTGGTCAGTATTTTAATATTACCCCCTGATCCACAAAAATGTGAAAATCAGGCCATACTTGAACTTGGGTTTTAAAAATGGCACCTGATCTCAGACACTACAGAGGTAAAATTCCTGAGGAAAATGGATGAAATAATGGTGCTATGCAAGCATAAACAATAACAACACATTAAATGAATTGTGTTATATTTGAGGCTTTATACTGAATATAAATGATATATACACCATTTGTGTATTACCTTGTATTTTGGAATAGTTTTTAAAAGCTCTTTAACTGGAACATCTGTGCCAACTACTCCCAGGAGAATCCCTTTAGACCTCTGAAAGAACAATAAAAGATGCACTCAGAACCACAATGATAATAAACATTCTCACCACCTATTTCACCTTGCAGCTACACTGTGAAATTGAATAGATGACAGAAAAATTATTTTAAAAGTGGGGAAGGCAGACACTGGTACAATTCAGCTGATCAAGCAGTAATTAAATCAATAATATTGCTCCTTTCTGACTTATTTACAATTCATAGAAAAGGCATGCTAGGTTTGGATAGCTGGTGAGTCCCTCTGCTGAAATCTTTCACATGCAAATAGGTTTAAAATTAAAAACTACTGTAAAAAATGTTACTCCTGTCTTTCCCAATTTCTCCTACCATTTGATAAACAAAAGAGGAAGATGAAGCATTAAGGGGAAAGTACACTTAAGTTTCTTTAACAATCTGTTGAATTACTAAAGATAAATAGATGAATAGACATAAAACTAATTAAATTTTGAATTATATCAGAGCAAAGAGGAAAATTATATAGACTATTTACTACAAAAAAGCAATACAGAAGAAAGCAAGCCGTAAGGCCTGGTGTCATCTGAGATTTTCCCTCAAATATAGGGTTTCATCATTTTACCATGGCTCATAGAGCATAGGTATTTGGGATTATTTGTCCACATTTTTATGCTAATAAAGAGATTCTAACTGCAGACAAAATAAGGAAAAAAAATTAAGAGTTGGCTAAACTTATTAGAAAGCAACTTCACATCAGTCACAGCATTATCACATGAGAGAAATAATCTGAGTACTTACAGTCTCATTTTGCTTACTAAATACTGGCATGGCAACAGTTGTCATCAACACCAATCCCTGATCATCAGCAAGCTATATTTGAAAAAAAAACACTATCTCTGAGAACTAAGGGACAATTACAAACACGTGATTGCACTTTTCAATGTCATCATTTCCATTTTCAATGAGATAAGGCAGTTCACCCAAATCACAGCGATGCAGTTGGACCTGCAGTCAGTGCAGCCCAGCCCAGAGCTGCCCCAGCTCTGCCCATGCCAGCCCCTCCAGGCAGGAAAGCAGCCCCATCCTCTCCCCACTGCAGCCTGCCATGGCACAGACAGGGCTGGGGAGGCTGTGGAGGCAGCAGGAGCAGCAGCCAAGGAGCTGCAGATGTGCTCCACATCCACTGCCAGCTCTGCCTCAGTGGCCTCAGGCTGTTTCCTCTCAGCACAAGGCCATGAGCTGTGTGAGGTTTGTTCTGGTCCAGACGAGATCCCAGCTCACTCAGCAGCACAAAGGATGACAGCCAGTCAGGATCCCAGGAGCACTTGGCTCCAGCTGCCCTCAGAGGTGCCATGAAGCATTAGTTCATCCTGCACATCGGGTTTCAATGCAGTTTTCCAGTTTAAGGAGCAAACAGATCTTGGTTCCATTCAAGGGAAAGATGCAGGGTGTTTATCACTGGCCACAGGGCAGTGAGAGGGCTCAGATTGTCTCCTCCCTGGTCAGATGAAGCTCTGTCCTGAGGCAGAGCCTGCCTGGGGTGCTCCAGACCAGCACTGCTCTGTGCTCTGTGCCTGCCCACCTTCCCCAGCAGCCTGAGAAACACAACTCCAGCAGGGAGTGGAGTCATTGTTCAACCCTTTCTGTCCCCAGGGACAGATATTAAAGCTGAAGAGGTTCATCCAACATTTGAAAGTGTGACACAGACAGTCATGAGCTCAAGTGGAGATTTTGTAGAACACAAATTCTGCTTTGCTGCACCCATGCTCAGCCAGTTAGGTGCAGCAGCAGGGACGATCTTGCTGAGCAATGCTGTAGGTGACAGCCCAATTGTGACTGTGACATTCTCCTGTCACTCCTACATCTCTATCATCTTTTCTGCACTCAAGTAGAACTTCTAATCTTTTTTTTCTTTTCTTTTTACAACTTTTGACATTTATTTTTTTGCCTTGTTTGTGTTTACAAAGGTTTTCTTATAATGAAGCTATAGCAATTGGCTCCCCACATTCTCAGAAAACAATTCCTACATTATGATAAAGATTCCTTATGAAGCATATTCCACATGAACAAATCAGACAAACAAAATCTAGAAAATTACGTGTCCTGCATCTCCCAGCCTTCTTCAGGAGGATTTTAAGTTTCTTAAACAAGTATATTTCCTGAGGCACTATCTCATGGTGAGAAGGAATGTTTGCAGACATTAGACAGGAACACAAATGGGGTTTAGAATCAAGAAGGTTTACATCTGATAAGGAATCACCAGGGATATGAGGTGGAACAAAATTATGATCATATTTCCTTATTTTTTTTGTTTTCCTTGTTGGCAAGAAGAGATAATTCTATCTAACCCTATTATAATCTTTGATCTATCAAGGAATAGCAAGTTATTAAACAAACAAGAAAAAAAAAAACCAAAACTTGACAAAAGACTGTGGGTTCAAAGGTTGCACTTGAAACTCAAATACAGCCAAAGCAATGCAGGAATTTCCACTCTTTGGCCAGAGGAGTAGAGCCAAGCACACTGACATGATTTGTGGGGAGAGCAGCCCAGGAAGTGGAAAAGCATTCTGCTGATTCTGAGGTGACATTTTGGAGCACATCAAGATTCTCTATGATTGCCCTGGGTGGTTTTCTCTGACATCATGTTTTTGTCAAGTACCAGGACAGTATTAATTTATGAGTCTGCTCACTTTCAAGATCTTACTAAAAACAATTCAATGGATAGGATAAAGCCAAGGGACTTCCAGCAGAGTTTTAGAGTGAGTTTTTTACATGGAGAAAAATAAAAACCTCACAGTCTGGAGTTCCTGGGAATTTATGAAAGGACTGCTCATTAACTCTCAAAACTATGGAAGCAGGCAAGAGTGTCTGCCTTGTAATTTTGTTATCTACAAGTAGCAACTAGAACTGGCTGCTGCACTCATTTCTATAGAATTCCACTGTATAATCCAGCTTGTTTGATTTTTTATTTGTTTGGCACATGAACAGGTTGCTGACCACTTCCATAAATGGACTCAGCAAATAACTGGATGAGCAGGGATGTGTATTGACAATGTTTTACTGAGTCACTGCTCATCATAATGCAGTTACTACCTAGTCTAAAACGATGAATGTAGGAGAGAGCATCAGTGATTTGCCCCAGGATGTTCTTCTACTGGAAAGACATGGTGGTAACAGTTTTAGGTGGGCAGCTACTCAAGGGCTATGGACACTCTGTTTCATAAAATGCTAAGCAAAAAATAACAAACCTTTGAAAGCAAATCATTCTCAAATGAGGAAAAAATGCCTTCCCAGGCTAATTGTCTCTTGGTTGTTTAGAATAAAGAAATAGAACTTGCTGTCTGAAAAAGGTACAGATTTCTAATGCCTAGTGATAATAATTTTTTAACTGGAGGAAAAGTTCCCTTTAGGAATAGATTTAACTACAACATTTTTCCATTCAATTCCTTGCTGTACACAAGTTACCCCCCTCAGAACAACCCCCAACAGATCTTCCCAAAAAGCAAATAAAACTCATCCTCTTAGATTAAGCCACTTCAGAGTTTAGCCTCACACCCAGCACTAGCATCCATCTCAGGGCAAAGAATATGGCAGGCTCCAGAATTAAACCAGAATTAAACCACACATATACAGGAAAGAATATAAACACTTTCTGAGGTGTTCAGAAAGAGGAATTTGAGAAACATCTCTGAAATATCTTCCTTGAGAGTGCATAGCCAAGAAGAGTTACAGGGAGTTGTTCAGAATTCCTGACACACCTGCCCAACCCACCCTGTCCTTCTTCCTTGACCTGCTCTGTATAGATTTGCTCCACAATATGTTGTCTCCTGTGACCACTGCACTTTTATGTGCTGATCAGAGTCATGAGGCAGGCTGGAAGCCTGAGAATTGGAATTTCTGTTTTATATGGACTAAAAGAATAAGGAATATCTATTATTTTGGCATAGACTCAAGTGATGGTCTGGGACAATATAAGAACCTGTGTAAGTGTCTTAAAGAGATGTTTCTGTGTTTGACACATAGAGCAAATGAAAAAAAATCCCTTATATTGTAAAATAGTTACTTGGAGTTTGTAAATTGCTGATTCAAAAATGTTATTACAAGTAAGTTTGCTTGTTGAGGAATGTGAGAGGGAAATTTGAAATTTAAAGATTGCAATTAACATAAAAGTGAAAATTTTAACGTGGTTTTCTGAAAAGATACCAAATATACATTACAAAACAAAGACAATAGCATCTCACGAGGAGGAAATAGATCCAAAGGAATGCTAAGTCAGACTGTTTACTTTATGATTATTTTGTACTCCATTAGATTCCACTTCAATGTTGTAATTTTACAAAAGTGCTAAAATCACTAGTCATGCACTTCAGTGAAACTAAAGCTTTCCAAATTTTCTATTTTCTATTCCCAGTGACAGTTAATTCAACTCTTCAAAGTATAAGATAAACGATGCAGGGGATGATAAATGATCCTCCCAAAAGGCTGAAAGATGATAGCATCAAGATAGGAGGAGGGCACAGCACTACTTACAGAAGTTAAGGGTTACACAGAAAGAGAGAAGAAAGCTGTCAGGAACTTTTGGGCAATAAATATCATTAAAACATTTCTGTATGGAGGAAATGTGGCTCCATTCATGAGAGAATCATTAAAAAAATTCTTAAGTGCTCCTAAACACAACTCTCTGCTTCTGATTTGTGTGCCTAATTTATTCACTTCTACCTTTTCACTCAAGCTAAGTAGAACAAAACATCACAGCAGGAGTAGGGCAAAAGCTTTTGAATCCTGCTGTGTTTGCTCAAAAAAGCAAGTAAAGCTTTCCTACTAGGAAACAAAACACCTTTTTGAACTATTAAGGAAAAATGGCTTTTGCTCTTCAGTGCATACAAAAAGCTGTTTAACATAACTGTTTCAAAGATAAAGGTCATTTTGGAAATCAAAATGAACAAATTTGAAAAGTGGTAAATTTCAGTTATTATTTTGTCTTACTGATATTTTCACAGCCCTGTGGGATAGCTACTTAAAAACATGCATAAAAGAAACATAAAAGAAACATAGAGGACAAGTAAAATTCATATGAATTTGTTTCATTTGTCTGGTAGCAGTTCTTCCTTTTAGATACATTAACTCTTCCTACACATATTTTGTTCTGAAGGTAGCATAACCACACTAAATCAAGGTCTCTGCTGCCTGAAACTGGTGAGGTTTTGGTTGGTGGTTTTTTGGCTGGCTGGGTGAGGGGTTGGTTTGATTTGGTTTTGTGGTATTTTCTGTTTTAAGTATAGGGTGGATCACAAAGAACTTTCCAAGACAAATATCATGGTGCAACAGACATATCCACCTTAAACTCATCATTATTCATTTCACCTGCTCTCCAATTCTGAATTTGCACCAGTTTGACTAAGAGCAGACAGCATAAGAGAAACAGGTTTAATTGTTATTTAACTGCTGTAGACAGTTTAAAACCTATAGGTCTTCAAAATCAATAGCTAATGACCATAGAGCACTGACTAAACACTGAAAAGTCTGAAGCCAAAGTGTCCCACATATAAGAGAAAACACATTTCATCAAGATGGTGAACTATTTATAATAGATATGAAATAGCAAAGGTAAACTTGAAATGCCACATTTTTCTTTCAGATCACTCAAAGATTAAAGTGAACATGTTTAGAGAGACATGACTGTTTGAAATGTTTATAGAGAAAACATTTGCAAGATGATACACAGATTCCAACAAAAATACAGTACAAGTTCAGACACCATATGGCAAAACAGTGACTAAGTCATTCATAAAGGCATGCACCAGCCCTGTGCTGCTTCCCTTCACCTTGCAGAGAGCCAGAGAGATTCTCTTGGTCTGTTCATAAGCTTCCAGGCCACACTTATTTGAAAGGCATATTTCTTGCCTGAAGTTATCAAAAGCCCTGGAGGATTACTGGTACCTGCCCCCTTCCCCATCCCATTCCTTCCTTCCCACCCCTCTCCTTTTTCACTGCACAAAATACACATCAATTAGACTATAGCTGTGAGTGCATTTAAAAATATCTGGCTTTAGCTCTGCAATTGTTTTATCTAGGGGCAAAAACATTAAAATTTGCAATTTTGACCATTTATTTGAAAAAATTCTATTTGCTAACAGCAAACTTGAGTAATTTGTACCAGAATATGGTTTAATAGCTCAGAGTTGTGGCCATCAGAACAGGCAATACAGCCCCACATGCACCAAGCTGACAAACAGCCTGACTGGTTGTACTTTCTGCACCAGCACCTCACAGTCTGACTCTCTCTTCTTTCTGCAAACTGTTAAGAGAAGCACTTGGCACAAACACTTAGACAAGCAGGTGAAAATGAAAAAGCCAAAGTTAGCTAGTCTAGCCAATCTTTTTGTCCTTCTACTCTTCCAGAAAGCTGTACACAAAATATTTCTTGAAACTTTTTTTCAAGAAGGAAAAACAAAACAAAACAAAACCAAACCGACATCTTTTGGTACCATGTTCTGCAGCTATCAAAGCATGAACAAACTATGGACATAGTTCAGTGTCATAAAATAGCATGTAACCTGCAGGCTTGAAATTGAATTTTCTGAGCTCCATGAGCACGAAAATTTCAAATACATGTTGTGTCATAAAAATAAAGCCTCCCATCCTCATATTTCTTGGTTTTTAAGCTAAAAAGTCTGAGATACATTAGTGAAGGTCTAAGCTCTGTGGATGCTCTCACCATTCTTCAAAAGCTATTAAGTGAAAGATCACTTCACTTATAGCCTTCATTAAAAACTGAACTTTCATCATCATCCATGAATGTTACTAACAGTGGTGTCAAACTGACTAATTGCTGTGACATTTCTTATTGAAGGTGCTTTACCAAGAACAATAAGAATGACTTGGACAAGTGAGTGTTGCAATTGCCCAGCATATTCTATTCCTTTTTATCATTTTAATACTTTTTTACCAAAAGCACAAACCAACAGCTAGATTTTCTAGTTTCTGGAAGCCTTGATTATGTTTGTGAAATACATAAGGATGATGCAACAGGCATCAAGGAATTCTTAGCTTTGTCCTGGCTCTGGTGACACAATATCGATGCAGAAGTATTTTAAAGGCAAGAGCACATTGTATGGAAATTATGCAACCTGCTAGAGAAGTCAAATGCTGAATGTGTTCAGGGGTGTGTTGGTAGATACAGTGGGGAGCAGTGAAAGGGTACCAGCTATGCCATGGCTTCTGCAGTCTCTACAACAGACCCAGAAATGTTTCACATGGAGTAACAGAGTGGGTTGGGTTTTGTTTTTTTTTTTTAATCCCTACTATTATTTCAAATTGTTGATAAAACAGCCTCCCTGCTGCTTGCAAGATGAAGGCTACTGGATGCCTGGCATGTGAAACAGCTGATGTGTTTGAAGAGCTGCTCTCAGCAGGTACCTCAAGCTGGGCTCAAAGCCAGGCACCCTCCAGGGCCGGCTCAGAGCCCTGTGACAGTGAAGAGTTTCACTGATCACCACCTGTACCACACCCACACCACCATGGAAACGTGAAGCACTGGTGACTACTTGGAATGACTAGGATTGGATTAAAATATTTTACCTTTTGTGCCTGAGGGAGCTGGAAAACAACAAAACAGAACAAGCAATTATACATTAAATTAATCTAAACAGGCACTTTAGCTGCTGTAATAATAAAAGCATAAACATAGTAAAAAACAAAGTGTAAAGGAAAGAAACTAGAGGAACTGGGTTTACATTGCCAATTGATTCAACTGATTGAGGGCTTATTAACTGATATTATTTGGCAGCTTCTCTACAAGGTATCAAAAAAGCACCATGACATTTGTTAAATACTAACACATCCAAGAAAAGGATTGTTTTCTCCTCAAATATGGTATCACACCTGAACTGTGAAGTAATTCCATCTTCCTGTACACAAATATAATTCAACATAGAGACAGTTTTAAATGAAACTGACATTAAGAGGAGATCATCATATTAAAGTAGAAAGTTGTATCCTCCGTGACAGAGGAAAGAAAAACAAAATGGGAGTAGAAAGTTAGTAAGTGCTTATGCAAACAGATTACAATACATGCATAATATACAATAATATATGCATAGAACAATACATTTCTGTGCTGTGAACACAAGTATGATTATATGTGCATATATGCAAATCAAATGCAAGTGTTTATGCATATATGCATATCTGTACCACACAGATGTTATCAGACAAGAGTAGCCATACCTGGTTGTGTGCACAGTGTTTACTGTAAGCAACAACTCACAGATAAAGGCATTGAGAGCAGGCAGCAGACTCCATCACATACAAAAACCTTATTTATCAAGAGTTGAAAGATGGGTTCTGTTTTCACTTCAGAAAAAAGAAAACCCATTGTAGCAGAGGAAGTCAGAAAATCAAACTGTTACAGGCACAATACAGTTTTCCCCTTTTCTGAATTCTTCTCCTCTTACTCCATACTTGTGGAGAAATACTCATGTAGCACTTTAGCCTTGTGCTAAGTGTACCTCCTCAGAAAATTTGTTTGTCCAACTCGAATTTTGTCTTTAAAGGCATCATCTGAACATGGAAACAGGCAGGTGAGTCGATGCCAAATGCAAGAAGACCTTCAAGATCTCTAGTGAGCTTCTGACTGACCTTTTGCCCTTCCTCTGAGTGAAAACAAATAGAGAAAAACCTCCAAACTTGAATGCAGTCCTCTGTGAAAAGCAAATATCCACATGGTACATCTCACGAAAGAGAACTGTAACATGATGTCTAATTCACAAATACTGGAGCAAACAGCCACAATTTCTCTGTTTCCACAACATACAATGTAACAAAATCCATGGCAGGAAGAATTGCTACAAGTAAAATTCTTTAATCCTAAAACAGCAGTGATCCAATATCAAAATACAAACCAGGATCACATTGAAGTATGACTTGTATGTGTTTCAGAAAAAGCCTTTTTTAAAAATAAATTACTATATTGATCACTATATAAAAGGGTTGCTGCAGAAATTGCAGATATCTGTGAATTGTAAATACATGACCTAAATCCTGTATAACAGGTTAGAGCAGTTTAATGCCTTTCAGAAAATTTAACTACTTGTTAGTCTTTTACTTGGTTAATTACTTTGACAAGTGGAAGCTTTTTTTTTTTTTTACATTCAAACAAGAGGAAAAATTTGCAATATGATTTTCTTTTAATTTGCCAAATACAGTCAGGTACATGCAGTTTGGTCAAGTTTTGCCAAGTGAGAGAGTTACAGTCAGATGGATTGAAGTAAGGATTTCCTATTAAGAACTACCACACAAACTAGATGCTTCACACTTTTGAATATAAAAGATTATTTTCATGAGCACATTAATAAGCATTTGCAAACTAGAGTTCTTTACTATCTGCTGCTGAATTCAGTTAGTCAGTCCATTTATAAGCTTTTATAAAATCAAGAACATTCCCATTCTCCTAAATAGTAGTAGTCACAATGATTAAGAATAACAAAGTCAGCAGATCATGCTTTTTTTCCAGGGCTGGAATTCTTGACACATTTCACCTAAGCTTAAAAATCCAGGTTCAAGGTCTTTCAATTAAGAAAACCAAAGAACAATTTAAAAAAAATCCTTTGTTCACATCATATAAATATTCATCCTATTGCTGAAAGGTCCTATATGTCAGCAATTCAGTCTAATCAGTTTTCCAATATTTGCTACAAATTCCTTTGAAATAAACAGTTGAGTTTTGTCTGACATTAACCTTCTGGGGGGCCATAGGAAACAAATCATTTTCCTAACAACAACAGTAATAGTCCTCTGTTCTGACCCTCTATTGAACAGTGTAAGAGCTGCCTGTGTGTGTGTAAAAGCCAGCAGGTGCCTCTGATTTGTGCTTTGCTTCACTCCCTGCCAAGAGGCAGCTTTGCAGCAAACTGTGTGATCTTTCCCTGGCCCTCCAGCACTGCAGGTATTTCTATTCTACCTACCCCCCTGGCTAACTGTGCCCTTTTGATGGTTTTGTTCAGCTCCAGCCACACCAAAGCACCTCCTGTTCCTGTTTGTTTTCCATTAGTGTCCCTCCCTCCCTCAGGTGCTTGTCCCCAACAATACTCACAACACAGATCTGTTTTACCTGCTCCTAGTTTGCCATCTGGGTACAGCAGATTTTGTTAAAATTATTGTGTTTGGAGTGCAGGGAGCCATTTGCTGGCTCCTGGTTCACCCAGCTGTGGCTCAGGAGGAGCTGTCTGAAGGAAATTGGACCTTGCCCCACAAACCTGCTTAGGAAGAGACCTTTGCTGTGCTGCCAGGTACAGCAGAGACAGGAGCCTGCAAACCTGTAAGCTCCAGGGGAAACCTAAGAGAATTTTCTGATTTATAAAAGCAGACTTAAGGATCTTGATGGAAATATGCAGATTTTGCTGCAACCTAAAAAAAATTCTTAGATTAAAGAGCAAGACTAAAGCATTGACCATTGCAACAGCACAGGTAAAAAAGTAGTGGGATTTGTTTTCAAACTCCTTTTAACCAGAAAAAAATTCCTAACTAAATACATTTTCTTATTCTATTTTGTATTGCAAAAAAAAAATTACTCTCAGAAACTGGAGCCCCCCTGAGGTTCACAATTTGCTTTATGCCAGTAAGATATGTTGAGAATTCCATGTCTAAATTCAGGTCAACCTGGGGTCCCGTCACACAATGTAGAACAGAATAAATAACTGCAGGAGGTTTTTCAGTACTGCTGCTGCACACACTGTCATGCTTTCCACATTTGCAAATAATCTAGTACTGTTTTGAGCCCTTCATGGAAATGTGTTTGGCATTACCAGAAAAGAAAAAGTAGACACTAATAACGTGGTAAAAAACCCCAAGACAGGCAAAGGAATCCACCATCACAGACTTTGCACTATTTTTTGGATCAGACACCTGTGAGACCAATATGATTGAACCAAACAAAACCCCAGAGATCTGAAATGCTGCCTTTAGAGCAGGAGGAATAAGTTATAGGACAGTAGTTCTGATAAGTACCTCATAAAAGGGTATGTCTTTTCACCCTTATCAAAAGAAGTTCATAAAGACTGATTTTGTAAATAATTTCATGACAATTGAAAAGAAAAAGGTTAAAATATTTTAGTCCTGTTCCAACAATTTATTCAAAATAGCATGAAGCTGCATGTCCTAGATTTCCAAGATAGGAAATTTAGAAGTTTTAAAGGAAAGCACAGTAGCATTATAGACTTATTGTTCTGTGGGATCAGAATTCAACCTCATCTTTGTTTGAAGAAAAGCAAAAAATCTTCTGCAGGAGTAAATGCTACTCAGTAGTTTCTTACTATATCAAAACCCACAGCTTCTATTACTATAAAACAAAATTAACATATATCATGATGATATGAATGCTCCATTTCTATTTTTTTCTAATGATTTCATGGGGTTATTGTGATAAAACTATACTATTTCAATTTACTAATGTTAAAACTTTGAAAAATAAATAAAAACTCTTATTTTACATTCACTGACCTTATTTCCACAGTTCTCCTGCCAAGTTTTTAAAAGTCACCAGTCTCAGAAAAACAGCCCCACAGAGTTGATTGCTCCAAAATCAGATACAATACAAATCAATAAAAAGTAACTGCAAACATGTCAGTAAATAATCAGCAAGTCTGGCTATGGTTTTGATAAAACAGACATTTCTATAAATACCTTCTGAGCTGAACTAAATTTAACCTTAATGCATTGCTAAATGTATGGTGTTTCTAATGCTCATGTTCATCCCATCTGTGTCACATGCTGACTCTTTAGTTGACATGGGATGTATGGCTTAGAACTTTTACTTTTCAAAAATACATTTTCAGGAAAGATATGAAGTGCTGTGGCAGACATGGAGAAAATGCAAAGCATTTCATACACTGCTTGCAGGTTTCCTCAGCTCTTCCCATAAATAGCAAAAACTTGAGGAAGAACAGAAAGAATATTCCAGTTCTCAGTTTTGAGCAGAAAATGTAAACTTTCTGCTTTAAAATCTACTTATTCAGCTGCTATTAAATATATAATTTAAATATTATGATTTTGATAATTTTTCTTTTGTAATCTATGCACTTATTCCCCCATCTAAGTACAACAGGCATCATACAAAACGATATCCACACACAGAGGAAGAAATAAAATTCAGCCTCCTACTGGGATGCTCCTGACATTAAGATTTCAGTATAAATATTAGAAGAGTGACATTAACCTGCAGCTTACTAGGCCAACATCTCTAAGGAAACGTACTTGATTTTTCAAGGGATTTAAGACCAAATCCTTCATTGTTCACATAATTGTTTTACTGTGCTACCACATATTTTTCAGTAACTACAGCATTTTAGTCAAGGATAGATTGTGCTCTGCATGCAAACTACACTCATCAAAGGAAATTTAAATGTTGCTATGGAGAAGAGAGTCATAAAACAAAGATAAAACTAACAATTCTAGCTCTCTCTTTAAAAAGAATTCCTATAGATGACAGAAAGGAAAGAATTTAGCTTCTGTGAAATATGAAAAAGAGAACACACAGGAGCTGTAAAAGCATTGGATTGGAATTAAGAAATAGCAAAATAAAAAATTACATAGACTTAAAA